ATCAGGAGGGAGGAGACCCTGGAGAAGGACATCGCACATGGTACAGTGGAGGGTCAACAAGATGGACTGGCACCGTGGCAGCAGCAACGGGCTCAAGCGTAACAACGATTGTGAGGACAGCACAGAACCAGGCACAGTTTTGTTGCATTGCACACAGGGTCACTAAAAGTCGGAACTGACTCAATGGCACCTAATATCGTTACTTAATAACTTTAAAATATTCATACTCAGGGCTCTTTTCCTACAGAGAAAGGGTTCTATTCATCTCTTACTCAATTATTTTCTAAAAATAAATGAAATTATTATCTTTATCATCATTATCACCTCTTGGAAACCTTCCAAATCCTTTAGTATTTATCTTACAGTGTGCAAGTTTTCCTTCACCAAATAAACAAAACCCCATGACCAAATAGCTAAGTATAGAACGGCTCTTCCTCCATTTCCTATTTTTAAAACTACGAAGCATTAGACATCACACAATACTATCACTTACAGAGATTTTTGAAGGTGGGGTTACATCCAAAGAATAGTCCATTTCCTGTGTGCTGAGAGTTCTCAGTGACAGTGAGCATTCTCCAATGGTTTTCTTCCTGGGCGTCTGAGTTTGAATCTTAAACACAAGCCTTACTGTTTGCAGACTTTGGAGTTTAATAGCAAATACAAAAGTTTCCATAAACTCAATAGCCTTCAAAACAGACACACATACACAAAAACACATAAATTAAAAAAAAATTTTTTAGTTTGCTTTGCCATTTATAAAATTTTAAATAGCATCTTATAATCTAAGAAGGATATATGTAATTACTTTGTAATAAATATACTTTAATGCAAATAAAAAAGAGAATGGTTAGGACTTGCTATGTAGGATTTCTGAGGAGTAACTGGTGGATTTGAACCTCCAACCTTCTGGATAGCAGTCCAGTGCTTATCTTACAGTGCCACACCAGGACTCACATTAAGAACTTGAATTATCTTCTTTACAGTGTTCCCTCATCTGTCTTAGGCTTCAACTTCTCTTTTCTATTCGTCCCAATCAGAAAACCAACCAAAAAGGAAAATAAGAGTTTAACATTCTCTCAGAAATATCCCCTATAGGCACTGAGTCAGTGTTTTCCAAGCTATGGTAATTTTTGAGTGTTCTTTTGTCAGTATTTTAAAGCCTTGGCTTACCATAAGCTATCATCTTAACATAAGACAGTTCTTTGTATAATACACCTTCCTGTCTTCTAACTATGGGGTATCCTTTTTGTAAAGGAACTTGTTGACAAGATAGCTTTGCAACTAACATCACTGTTGTGAGCAATGCACCCTAATTTCTAAGTTTATTGCAGATGGTTATATCATACAGGCGTGTGTTTCTGAATGCCTCCCAACCACTTGAGCTATCTTTAACTTTCAGAGTCCCAACCATAGAATCACACCAGTAATATAATAGACATAAAATGTTGGATTTTTTTAACTTCAGGGTACTGAGCTTACAGATGAAACATTTTGTAACAACACCACTATGTTGTTGTTAAGTGCTGTTGAGTCAGTTCTGACTCATAGTGACCCAGGAGTGGTTGGTGGGTTTGAACCACCAAACCAGCCGTTCAAACCAAACTTGAGGTCCAGTGCTTAGCCACACCAGGACTCCTTTACCACAATAGAAGACTCCCAAAGAAAACACAAACAACTTGATACAGAATCACAATTTTAAAAATAAAAGATTTTATACAAGTTTTAATGAGAAGATTTTCTTCCTAGTTAACTTGGTCTTATTTGAAAACCAAAAAGCAAAACTGTTTAAGAAAATTCAGAAAGCATTCACTTGTGAATGTCAGGATTGTAACTAGAGTTAAGATTGATTTCCTTCTAGATTTTCTATAATGCGTACTCTCATAAAGTGAGATTGTTACACACGATTTTGATTACTGCCTTTTTAACCTACTAAGAACATTTTCCCATGTCCTTAAAAACTCTTCCTAAATGTCATTTTTTCATCATTGCCTAATAATCCATCACATACAGGCATACTTCGGATATATTGCGGGTTTGGTTCCAGACCACCACAACAAAGGATATATTGCCATGAAGCAAATCACACACGTTTTGGTTTTCTGGTACATATAAAAGTTACATTTACAGGGATACTGTTGTCTATCAAATGTTTAATACAGTTGTTGTTGTTAAGCGCTGTCAGTTGGTTCCGACCCATAACAACCTTGTATAGGGTTTCCAAGGGCAGGCTGGTGGGTTTGAACTGCCAACTTTGTGGTTCAAATTGACCTTGCAGTCCAACACATTACCCTGCAGCACCACCCCATTATGAAAATGTTGGAAATATTATGAGAATTAACAAAATGTGACACAGAGACACAAAGTAAGCATATGTTGTTAGAAAAATGGTGCCAACAGATGTTCTCAGCATACGGTGGCCACAAACCTTTAATCTGTACAAAACGCCTACGTGCGGAACATAACAAAGAAAACTGCAATATAACAAGGTATGCCTGTACTATGATTTTGCTCATCCACTTCCCTATCTGAACACTTACAGTATTTCCAATCTTCCACTCTGAACAGCATTTTTCTGATTGTTTCCACGGAAGATTATAGATTGTTTCCACAGGAGATTAACCATGTCAGTAAGTATAAGCAATGAAAAGTTTTGATGTGTATTGTCAACATAATTTACAGAACATTTTATGTTCTAGAGTACTTAAAAAAAATATTTCCCATTTGTAATAAGCAAACTAAGTAAATAAACAAGAAAATAAGGGAAGGAGGAAAGAAAAGAAAAGAAAAATGTGTCATTAAAATTTGTATTTTTATGATGAATAGTAAATCTTTTCATGTTTGCTAGTCATTTGTAGGACCTTTTTTTGTTTGTTTACTTTTTATCATGAATTGAGTGAAGGTTTACAGAGCAGATCATCAGTTTTACCTTCAACAATTCATACACGTCAGTCATTTCATCTCCATGACTGCAATCCCCTCCGCCTACCATCACTCATCCCACTTCCTCCCTGTGTTTCCTGTTTCTAATCTTCCTCCTTTCCCAACCCTTCTGAACTTTGTCCTTGAGTAAATGATGCCCTTTTGATCTTAAAATTTTCTTTTAATACACAGGGCATGTAATCTGTAGGTTTTCCCAATATAAAACACTCTCTTATGACAATTATCTTCCATAGATAAAAGAGAGAAATATCAGAAAGACAGAAAAATAAATTCAAACACAAACATCAGCTGCTTACATTAGAGCCTTCCTTTGCTGAAGACTTGAAGTGCACTGGTTTGGGCAAAGTCAGTATTCCCTTTATAGAAATAGTAGGCGCGTCTCCATAACTAGAAGGCCAGATCAAATCTTTGCACTAAAAAAATTCAAAATAGTTTGAATTTTAGAAAAAAAACCTCTCATAATACAAATACTTCATGTACTTCTTAAGCTGATGATTTCATAAAAGCAGTATAAGTAAACTGTAGTCCAGCGAGACCTCTTGTTTCATCCACATTAAAATAATTTCAAATATAGTATTATAGATTTTTTGCAGTAAAATCACACATACTTTCCTCAATATAAAGATTTTTGTTAGTGCTTTATTAAGTATTCTTTCCTGTAAAATAATATGTTATCGTTGCTAAGTGCCGTTGAGTCATTTACGACTCATAGTGAACCTGTACAGGGTTTCAGAGGCTGCAAATCATTACGGGAGCAAAATGCCTCATATTTCTCTTGTGGAGAAGCTGGTGGGTTTGAACTGCTGACCTTGCAGTTCGCAGTCCAGTGCTTACCCCACAGCACCACCAGAGCTCCTGCAAAATAATAATTTTTATTGTTGTTAGGTGTCATCAAGTTGGTACTGACTCAAAACGACCTTATGCACAACAGAACGAAACACTGCCGGTCCTGCAACAACCTCACAACCGTTGCTATACTTGAGTCCATTGCTGCTGCCACTGTGCCAATCCATCTCGTTACGGGTCTTCCTCTTTTTTACTGACCCTCCACTTTACCAAGCATGATGTTCTTATCCAGGGACTGGTCCCTCCTGATAATATGTTTGAAGTACTAGACACACGAAGTCTTACCATCCTGGCTTCTAAGGAACATTCTGGCTGTACTTCTTCCAACACAGATTTGTTTGTTCTTTTGGCAGTTCACGGTACTCTTAATATTCTTCTCCAACACCATAAACCAAATGCATCAATTCTTTTACAGTCTTCTTTAGTCATTATCCAACTTTCACATGCATATGAGGTTACCGAACTAATACAAAACTACTACAAGTCTACATTCCAAAGGTATTGGTCCATTCTCCACAACAGGACAACAAACAGATGCTGTAATGTTCATTCAGTTTTATAAGAAAAGTCAGTGTTAATTTACCTGTAAAACTGTGATCCAGATCTGCTCTACAGAGGAATTATAAAACAACTTCACATTCAGTCTCCCGAATTCTCTCTCATCTCCTGACAGAGTAATTGTATCTGAATTGTCAGAGAACAAAGATGTTTGCCGTGTCAATGTTAAGCTTTGATACAACCCATTTTAAGAGCACAACTGAAAAATGCTCTTTTCTCTTTTATTTTGTTGCTGTTGTTGAGAACATACACAGAAAAACAGAAGCCAATTCAACTGTTTCTACATACATAATTTAGTGACGCTGACTATTCAGCATATTGTGCAACCCCATTAACATCAACTCACTGGCCCCTAATCTTCCTAGTTGCTGCTCTCCATTTGATCCCATAAAGACAGATCTTAAAAGAGAATAATACTCAAGGCAGACATTTTTTACTACTTAGCTAAACCATTTTTGGTTTTAAGCCAACTTCAAAGATATTTTTGGTTTAAGGTTTAAAGGTTACCTCAGGGGCTCACCCAGCCTCCATGGCGCCAGAAAATGGAGTGCACTGAATTTAAAATTCTGCTCCACATCCCCCTCCCACTTTTGTTCAGGATTTTTCTAGAGAGTTTTGTTCAGTAATGGTAACCAAGCATCATGCTGTCTTCCACTTTCATGGTAAAGGAGGTAATTGTTCATGGAGGTAATTAGCCACACAGTCCATAAAAATGCTACTATTTCTTAAAGTTGTCAATTAATAACATACTATCACATGTCAAGGTTTTTAATGATGGCATTAGGCTGATAAATTTAATACTGACTTAAATTTCAGTATGAGGGATTTAAGTTCAAACTAAGAAAATCCTTTCCAAATAACAGTAACAAGATCTCAATAATGTCTGCTTCTGGAAGCTCTTTTATTAGTAAGCTTTAGAGCAAACAGAAGGTATGTAACTTCTTCACCATTTTTTTTTTTTTTTAAGGTGCAGTTATGCCTAAACATTGAGGAATGGACCACATGATCTGAGCACAGTCTTTTTCTCCTCATATTCACACGACACCGTCGTGTTAGTTAGAAACCATTTCCTTAAGCAGAAAATACAGAATATTTCATTGCTTACCCAGGCTTCTGTTACTCCCCTGAGAATTCTTCCTTGAAGAAGAGCTACTGGGTACACTGGACAATGAATCATGTCTCTACAAACAAAATTATCTAGTCAGGGATAGCACAACAAACATTAGGGATTCGGATACTTATGCCTCAATACCAATCCTAGTACCAAAGAGTGTTACAAGTTAGAATTCCCCACTTTTAGATAATCAAAGGAATAAAAAGCTTTGTATATGTGTATTTATCAGCAAAGTCTTCAATCTCCTTCTAGGTAAAAGACGTGAAAATATTGGCTGGTTTAATTTTTGTAGAAAGAAAAAAAGATTACTGCTCTTTTTTCCAAGTTTCATACTTAAAAGTACTAATGAAAATCAGAATATTCAAGGGTTGCTGTTGTTGTTGTTGTGTGCTGTGGAGTCTGTTCCGACTCATAGCTACCCTGTACAGGGTTTCCGAGACTATAAATCTTTACGGGAGCAGAAAGCCTCATCTTTCTCCCACGGAACAGCTGGTAGTTTCGAACTGCTGACCTTGCGGCTCGCAGCCCAATTCGTAACCACTACGTAAGTGTTTAAAAAAAAAAGATAGCTAGTAGGGTTCCAGTTGATACACGCCCAGGTTTATTCTAAACTAAACACGTTTCAACATGTCTCTGTGATCAGTGGATGGCTGCAGACAAGTTCTCTCACGAACACACTCGTCTTAGTCTCATTAGAGTGCCTTCAAAACACAGGTCCAATCAAAACAGTGGTTTCCAGGGGCTCTGCTGGGCCAGTAAAATTCAAGGCAGAGTGTTCAGCTCAGAAGGTCATGGCAACTGTATTTTAGAATCCTAAAGGGTAATTTTGTTAGATTTCCTCAAAGGCCACAGGACAACCATGGAGGCTTTTAGGAAGAAGTTTCAAGAAAATAAAAAGCTGTTTGGGACTGCAAGCACTGAGATGCTGAGGCCGTGTGTCATGGATGAAAATCCAACACAAAGGCCCCACTCAGGATTGCTAGCCAGGGACACTGAGGGCCAAAGGAAGTGACCTCCTGACGTCCCAGGTTTACATGGACCCTGAGGGCCAAGGAAGTGTCCTCCTGACGTCCCGGGTTCATAGGTTTTTGCGAACACTGGATGGCTACCTCTGTGCAATTCTTTTTAGTCTTAATATTGTTCATTCTGTACTTGTTCTCTATGCTTCTAACTCTAGTAATTGTACTTTCTGAGAAGATGGTTTCTTACGTGCCTCTCTTAATGTCTCCACTGTGTTGGCAGTACGTAAGGTCCTGGGAACAAATCTCTCTGAGGGACAAGCTCTGGCCACCTGGCAAGCATGTCAAAACTATTCTTCATTAAGTAATTCAGTTATGCTTGATATTAATTT